TTTTTTTTTAGTTCTATGGTGATATTTTACGTTACATGATAAATCGATGAAAATACTTTTGAAAAACTACTAGGGACAGCCCTCTGGGGTTGTACGCAATGGTGACGTCGGACTACGTGGTCTTATTTAATAAATGTTATTTGTTAACTACAGCAGGACTTGTGTTTTGTGTAGGAATAGGAATTTAAGCAGGGTTCTCTCTGTTTATACTCTTTAGTATGACTATGATTGCCCTGAAAAGAAGCTTTGATATGAATTTAAGTTGGGACATGTTCAGAAATTTAACTCTTTCGGAAAAGCTTGGTGGCCCTGAAAAGGGCATGAATACCATGATACTGTTGCATCTGTAGTTTTTGGCATACTTTCACTGATTGCTTCCCAAAAACCTAGTTTTGATTCCTTGTTCAGCCATAGCAAGATGTGTGCGTGAGGACTTCCACGGTGCTTAAAACTCAATCGTATCATCCAGCTTGTTGAAGTACACACAGAACGTGACTGGATCATCATTGATCAGAGTTGCTCTTTGTAGTGCAGTCAATTCCTGGATAGAATCTGTTAAGTCATAGCCATTGTGTCCTTCTTACAATGTAGGAGATTCAACAAATGGGGCCACTTCATCTCATTTGCACTAAGTGTGAGGAACATCGTAGGCTTTCCCAATTGTCGCATCATGGTGAACAAATTTATCTTCCTTTGTTACCAATACTGTACTAAATTCGGTATTGATTTGAGGAAGGATAGATTTCGCTCAAAAGTGCATTGCAAGCCTTCGGAAACTCTAAGGCGTAGAACTTTCATTTTCATGTACAACGAATATTGTGGTTTGCCCACACGCCTGTCTTGACGACGAGTTTCACTGGATACCATCATGAAATATGTCATCCGAATCCCTGGATTGAATTTCCGTAGATGGTTAAAACATATGGCTGGAAAAGCTATCTCTTCGCCGTGCTCGTCATATATTAATAACAGATGAACCCTGTTTTGCGCGGGTGTGATCTCCAGGCATTTGTTCTTATTCCAAAGGAGCGTTTCCTGTTGCCCAAGCAGCAATTCTGTCTCATTATCCACGACAATGGTTTGCAGCTCAATGTGAGGATCCATTGCAGGGATTTCAAGACCATCTATGGCGGTCTGATCAATTGTGATCCCGTAGCGCCGGTATAGTGGTGTCCTAATCTAATAAGAAAGCCACGTTTTAACCGTAGTTTCCTAGAACAACATTCGAACAAAAAGAAAATTATCAAATAACTTTCATATGACACATGTGATTTCGTTCTAATTCCTCAATTTGGTGTCAATTAAACCATTTCTGATCAGAAATGTTATAACTAGGACATCGTTGCTTGCTATTTTCAGAATTCACACAAGCACACATCAGCAGCTCTTATTATGAGAAAAACACAAATACATACATTCGTTACGGCCTTCGGTGACAGTGTCGTATGACAGGGCCTGTCGTATAACATTGGTACTGTTTCTTGAAAGCTTGTTTTGCAAGTGTCAGAAGCAAAGGCAGTCGATTATCACAGAAAATGTGACACGACTTTTATTCGCCTTCACACGGCACCGTCGAAAATTTTTCTCTTCCAGCAAAGATTTACAGTATATTATGGGAACTTTCTCCGGAGTGAAGAGTTTCACGCACAGTCTGACGTTTGCTTACCGGATATTTCATAGGAGATAAAAGCTACAGAGTCGCCGTCAACGCCAATTCTATCAAAAAGCGGATAAGTGAGCAAGAGAACGGTGGTATTTTACTTTATGCTTCTTTCCCTTCAGAATCAGATTATACTCTAGATTGTAAAATTCGATTCTGAAGGGAGACGTATACTGAAGAAAAAATCCGTAGAAACTGTACCGAATTCCGTAGATTTTGCCTACGGATCCGTATTTCCGTAAAAAATTGTAAAATCCGTAGATCTACGGAGATTTCCGTAGATCTGGCATCTCTGTGTAGATGTAGAAACGGGTGCTCACACTCGATGATGATGATACGTGAGCGGGTATGCGTAAGCGCGTATGCGTGACCACGCAACGATGATGCCCAAATTTGTTTGCGAATTTCCAATAGCACGGATTAATCTTTCCGAAAATGACACTTTCTACTAAAAAAAAACTCACTTTTCGATCAATTTACCGGGAACTATGCCAGGAGTCACTTATTGAGAAAAAGACTGATAATATATATCAAGCGAATACCGAGAAAACTTCCAAAACAACGGAGCGCGAAACAAGTCGACCGTACTTCTTGCTAGGACGCAGTGAGATGCAAGAGCTTCGTTTTTGAAACCTAGTAGTAGTCACATAGTCACCATGAATGGAGTTCCAATTTCCTGGTCAAACCAAGTGAAATATCTTGGATTAATACTTGACCAAAACAGCCCAAGGCTGAAAGCCTCCTTAATAAAGTTAAATAATAATAATAATACTTGACCAAAAATTAACTTTTAAAGATCACATTGAGGGCATTCAAGCCAAATGTAACAAATATATGAAATGTTTGTATCCTCTTATAAACAGGAAATCCAAACTTTGCCTGACGAATAAACTTCTAATATTTAAACAAGTTTTTAGACCGGCCATGCTTTACGCTGTGCCAATATGGTCTAGTTGTTGCACTACCAGGAAAAAAGCACTTCAAAGGATTCAGAACAAAATTCTGAAGATGATTTTGAAGTTGCCTCCCTGGTACAGTACTACCGAAGTACATAGAATTTCGAATGTTGAGACTTTAGAACAAATGTCCAACAAAATAATGAATAATTTCAGGCATAAATCGTTGCAATCCTCAATTGCAACGATTAATTCCCTTTATACTTAGATAAGATTTAGTTTTAGTTTTTAGTTTTAAGATATCAATTGTTATACTGACATGCAGGTTTAAAATCTGTTTAAAATACTTAATTGCCAAGACATGAACAATGTAAAAACACTTAGATATATATCATAACAATTAAGGCTGGTAAGTTAATGCAGTAACTGGAGCACCTAGGTTAAAAATGAAATGTAATTTATTTTGAATTTGGAACAAATAAAGAGTTAAAAAAAATGATTTGGTCAGCAAAGATTAGACTCTTGGTGAATAGTTACAAGAATCTACTATTAGCTGGTTGCATTGAGAACTAAAACTATAAATAAATCCGGAAAACTTTGAGATTAGGGCGTAATTTATTTTGTAAACACACACTTAATTCGCCGATATCTCGTGAATTAAAGTTCAATCTAAAAAACTAACAACACACACAGGTAGAGGAATGATTCATTTGGTATAGTATAGTTCGCTAGATTGTGCTTTGATTCGTGAGAAATCGTTGAATGACGTGTTTGTTTACAAAAGCAATTACGCCCAAATCTCAAAGTTCTCTGGAAATGGTATTTAATGTGAAGGATGCGAAAAATATCGGAGAACGAGAAGAAAACAAACTGACACTCTCGCGTGATCATCGCCTACCTTTACTCGCTGGAAAAAAAAGAACAAAGCTGAGGGGATATTTGGTTGGTTCGAATCACGAGTACGTGTGAAATGATGTGAGATGGAGAGACGAAAGATCTTTCGCGATACGAAATGAAAATTTCTCTCGCTCTACGCTTTCATTAACTTTTTATCATCTCTCGTTCGCGAACTTTTTGTGAGAAGTTCCTTTGGGATTTATCTCTGCAATGAGCTGTGATAGAACTTTTTTTTTGAAAATGATGTTTCCAACACTGCAAGACATAAAAAAGCTATTTTTTGTATCTTATGATATGAGCTAAAAATTTTACCGCTCAAATAAAGTACTCAATAAATGAAGAAACATTCTAGAAGGTATCAAAATGCTACACTCAAAAGTTTCGTCACAAAAGGCAATGTTCGAGTTGTTTTGATTTCGTCCCACTGTGTGTCATTTGTATCTTTAATGGTTCCAGATATAGGGGAAACAGTCCTATTGTTATGGTACCTTTGTAGCGTTAGAAGCCTTTTGCTGTGTATGGAGGTTTCCAAACACAACAATAGGCTCCTAACGCTTCTAACGTATCGCAACAATAGGACTGTATCCCCTATGTAAAACCGAAAATGTATGCCGATTGGCACAAAACTTTTGATTTTTGGCTAATTTTGGCCTAAAATAAGAAAACCCACCGTTTTTGGTTCAAATCGGAGAGGTTCGATGCAATTGCTCGGTCACATGAGATGGAATGACCCATATGGTGTTGGTTCAACCTCTTAACACAAATCATTCGCAACGATTATGCACATAATTCAACCGTACGTCATTTGCTGATCTCAGTTGGCACATGAGGTGAAAACATGGCCATCGCTATCAGAGCTGGTACGAACATGAGTTAAGCGAAGAAACTGAATGATTACCTTGACGCCATTCTTTATTTGGATGGATGCCCATCAGCTGATGATGTATTCAACCATGAGGAAATCATTCGAAATTCGAAAGCAAAACTGGTCGCGTGTCGCGCGTATTTGAGCATCTCCACCGTTGCAACTATCTGCAACTTTTGTCGCTCGGAAAAGATTTCAATAATTTCACATGTGTTAAAAAACACAAATCAGTGGAATTTCAGACGCGGAATTTGGTGAGATCTATCTGATTATAATTAATGTATTGCTACCGTGTTCGACCAGCAACGTTTACTAAACTTATCATGTGGCTTTGCCTTCCCCAATAATAAGCTCTCAAACTCCTGTAACACATTAGTAAGGCCGTAGAGCTCTCTGAATCTCTCTTAAGTAAGTATTCAACTAACAATGCTTTATTATATTATTACCTTTCTTTTTATTCCATCCTGAACCAATGTTTTTATAGTTACTATCAAATCATTCTTATCGCTCACCTAAAAACGTCATCATTCAGCCCAAGCTTAGAATGTTTAATTCCACAACCTATATTTAGATTGCAAATTTCAACCTACCCAGCAGCAGAAACAGTTCCACAAATGTATTCTTCTCCGTTTACCTTCATACTAATACCATTAATTACGTCGTAATTTTCTACTAATTACAGTCCATCGTGATGTATCCACCCCCATCGTTGTACACCTGCACTGCCCGCGTGTGGCTGCGAGAGATAGGATTCTCCCTCACGTACGGAGCGCTGATGCTGAAGACGTGGCGGTAAGAGATAATTGGCTTTCATATCTGGAAGCCTTTCTAGCTTCAACCGGGTGGACAAAGTAGATTTTCTCTTCCCATAATGCGGTAGGGTTGTTCAGATTGGCTATGAGTGTCTCTCTTTGGAGGATGTTTGTGATATTACAACTGAAGGCAATTGGAACATCCCGACCGAAGTTCCCACGCTTGCTCAAACCCCAGTAGAAAAAGTTATCATGATCAAATCTGAAAGCATTGCTAATCGACTTCATTGTGTATTTCTATATCCAGTCAGCAGTATCGACATCGACACTCAATAAAGGGGAAGGAAAAGTGTTTGGAAATTTGAATATCTATCTACCATCAGATTTAATGGCTGTCTGGAAACTCCCGTACACAGTCACGCCTTCTGTGCCTAAGCAAATTTCAGTCTTTATCGATAACAATATTCTCTGAAAGTCTTTGCAACTGAACAACTCTTCTGGGTTGTTTTACTACTTCAGTAAAAGCTACGTCGTGTTAACGGGTCCTCAGTTCACCTTTGCTTTAACATAACCAGCAAATCACCCGAGTAGGAATATCATATTCAATGTATACGTTCAAATCTAATTTCTATGACGTGGTGGAACCCCTTCCATTCTCGATAGATTATGCTTCCATCGATCCACCCGAGTCTACTCCAATTGCATACAATGCATCGTTACAAAACACAGTTAAGTGCAGCTTCTGTTCTCCCGTTGCAGGATATCAGTCATCTTCCGCGTGCGTTCAGCGAAAGCAGTGAAAATCACCGATGCGTACCTGCTGAAGAGGTTGGGCCTGTTATGCGGTTTTGTCGGAATCGCCTTGCTCGTTAGAACGCTGGTTGCACCGCCGGTCGTGATAGTCGGCCGCACCGCAGACAATCTCAAGGCCTTTCTCTGCAAGACGGACTGGTGGGATCACACGTTCACATCCAGTAAGTATGTCGGCATGGCATGGCTAGTAGCACGTCACGAAGAGAACATACAAGGTCTACGGTAACAGCGGCAGCAGTGAAGTTGATTGAAGGAAGCGTAGTCTCATCGTTTCGAGAGGATAGGGAAACTCCTGTCACTTGAGGCCATACATAATTACCACATACGATATTTTGGTTTGACTGCTGAACTGGGTTAAATCTATTCAATTAATGACTATACACATAGAAAAAAATAATGCTAATGTAAGTGCTCTGAGACTGACATATACGAGCGTCAATATTGATATAAGTTTGAGTCATAACAGCCGCGAAATTCAGCTAAAACAAACGAACTTTTCAGACGCGGAGGATTTAATTTACATCCATTGTTTGTTTACGTCTCATCCTTTATGTCAAAGCTGGATTCCGTCACGTGTAAAATTCGTTATTTCTAATTGTGTAGGGTAAGAGAGCCAGACAAACCATATGCACCAGTAGTAGCATAGTTATGGTTGTTGCAAATACGCAATGGTGCCAGTTTTTGGCTCTATTCCAGATTCAGTAGAACGATAACCATCACTTTGCCGTCGGAAGCAATCAAAGCAATCTTCATTTCGCCTGCCAGATGGTTCGCCCATTAACGCTTTCATGCGCTGAGTAAAAGGTTCTTCTTGAACATGTTGTCCGGGCCCAAATTTGCGGAACTGGTACATGGGCGTGAATAAGCACAATCTCGGCTTATTTGAACCGTTGAGAGTTAAAGTGGTACATAGACCTTTTTGATGTTTAATTGTCTTTCTAGCACACAGGAATGAAGGTGTTGGTTTGTTTTCCCACTAAACTGTTTCCCTTTGGCTCGCACTCCTTTAATTAAAATGGTGCATTAGTGTGCGCCGATTAAACGTCAGAAAGCTCTATAAGCTATTTTTTGTCATTTTTGAGTTTTTTGCATGAGAGGATCAGAATGCAAGTATGTAAGTATTTTTTACACGTTTTTTTACGTTTTCAAGTTCATGTTTGCCGACAAGTTCGCGAAGAAGGCCATGATTTGGCAAGCGATTTGCAGTTGTGGCCTCGACAATGACATCCCAAGTTTACATCGAAGAATGCCTGAAAAAGCGTGCATTGGCCAGCTGCCACTACTCCAAGCAAGGTGGTTCTGGAGTGGTATGCTGCCAACAAGATCGATTTTGTCCCCAAGCGAATGAATTCTCTGATTTGCCCGGAATTTCGACCAATCAAAAAATACTGGGCAATTGCAAAGCAGCGACTTTGACGAAGCGGCGGAGCAGTCAAGGACATCCAGCAAATGCGGGCAAAATGGATGAAATGCGCTGATTCCGTGTCCGTTTCCACTATGCGGGCGGGCGCTGATGGGCTCCATCAAGAGGAAGGCTCGAGACCCAACAAACAGTTTAGCTGATTAAAAGCTGAATAAGCCTATTTTTGGCTGAATAAGCTTATATTCCTTATCCAATGTTTGTTGGGGATTTCATTCGAACTGGAGAAATGCAACCATCTTATGCTGTAACTTTGATGTTTTAATAAAAGAACTGTAAAGCAACCATTATTGGACTTTTTAAACTTATTGAATCACGAATTATAGTTTTTTTTGCGTACCAATTAACTTTTAGTCAGTTTTTTTAGTCTTTGAAGACTACAGGTTGATCAGAGAGTATTCAAAAGCAGTCCAGCTAATCGAATCTGATGAAATCTTCTATGATTGTACGGACATGTTTGTACATTTTCTATAGGAAAGACCGGTACCCCGGTGATTTAACTTTTTCAATAATTAGCACTCCAGGATAGTATAGATGGTTTAGAACATTAAATAAAATTGATGTGTTTATTTTTTGATAAAATTAAAAAAAAAAATCCCCAATATAATAAAATAACCCAATATGCTTTTGTAGAAAGAAATTCAAATAGTATCTGTTTACAAACAGATGCACAGTCATAAAACTTTGGAGTTCATTCTATTCGATTAGAATTTTAGTTAAATTAGTATTTTAATTTTGATTTAATTTCTAATCCCGAGATCTTGAAAATTATTTAGTCCAATGCATCGAAAAAAAAATCTAAATAAATGCTTTATAATTTTCTTTTTTTAACAAACATTAGAATTTGAAAATTCGAAACCCGTTAGGTGCCTTAAAAATCTGAAGAAAATTAAATTATATCCAGATTTTTCCTGATTTTTCTGTAACTGTGACTTCTGATTTTTCGAAGTTTTAAAATCTTAATTTGATTGCAATTCTTATCTAGAAGAACTTTCCATGAAAAATTATGTAAGTTTCAGAATCTCGATAACTTTCCCAAGATCTTCAACAAAGATTTTATTTTGGAGTCCGTAAGATTCAAAGCTGGTCCATGAATTATAAACTTTTGGATATTTTTTTTTTGTTTTCAATACAGTGAACTCTCTACAACTCGATTTGAAGAGGCAATCGAGTTATAGAATTATCGAGTTATAGAATAACAACCCCACACAAAATCGCTATCACAGAAGCCATGAAATATTTTTTTTACTTTGGTTCTATAGCTCAATATTGAGTTAGTGGACATCGAATTGTGGAGAGTTGACTGTATTTAAAAAAAAAATGTTGAATATTTTTCAGGCACATTTTCTGGATTTTTATGAAACTTTAATATTTGATTAGGTGAAACATTGTATAATTTTAAAAATTCATATTTTTTTTTAATATTCTTGTACCAGAATGTTTATGAAATTACAGTCTAGGAAGGATTTGTAATTTTATCTTAGTCTTAGAATTATGATAATTGATCAAATTCCATGACTTTTTACTTAAATTTGCATAGGGTTACTGATCTTCACATTGTACGACTCGAAATCACCCTTCTTCTCCGAACGCGTTCGAAAGAACGAAGCAAAGCAAGCATTCTCGAGCGATGCAAACGATGCTTTGATTAAAGTCTCTGTAAGTGACCAGTGAGCGAGGATTATTCCTGCTGTTCTTGCTGTCCTCCTTACAGTCTCGTTTAATTCGCATCGCAATTGATGTGATCGGATACGAATGTATTTGCGTGCGATGCAAAACGATGCGAAGCGATACGATGATATTCACGACGAAGTTCATCTTTTTTCTGGGTTAGCCCTGAATTGGTATATGACCCAGCGTTCAACAGGAAGAGTGATTAACTGGCAGCACTTGGTGTTTGAACTAAAACGTACCTTTATGCACCCTGATCTCGATGCCCTAATAAAAATGAAAATTTACCAGCGTAGACAACAAAAACTCGAGTCGTTCAGTGAGTACTACTCTGAAATTGAGAAGTTGTCTCGTTCAATGAGTTGTCAATTATCGGAAAACGAGAAAATTCAAATATTTCAACAAAACATGCGAATTGACTATAAACGTCAACTCGCATTTCTCCCGATCGTGGATCTTCCTAGTCTCGTGGCTGCCGCCCAAAAACTTGATGCTCTGAACTATTCGGTTTACAATCGTATTTTTGGTTCCGAAAAAACAGTCCACGCTGTTATAGGGTCTAACCTCAAAAAGAAAAACAATAAGAAGCAGCTGCATTCAGATGGAGAATCCGCGGTAGTGAACACACGCCAAGAAAATCAGGGTAAAGGACCTCGAAACAACGCTGGACAGCAGCAAAACGAACGTCCGAATTTCAAACCTAATTCAGGGAATCAATCACCTGTTGCAGGTCCTTCGAGTACGAATTCTACGAAACCACCTATAAACAATCGTTTCATTTCGCAGCAACGCCCAAAGCTAACACTTAATGATGTTGTTAGTGTACATATACCTCCGGGAAACAATACGTGTTTCAATTGTGGAACAGAGGGTCACCACTTTGCCATGTGTCGGCAACCCCGGTCCTTCTTCTGTATTGTCTGTGGTCTTCGTGGATTTTCAACAAATTTCTGTCCGTTTTGTTTAAAAAACGGGAAAGGGGTGGGCGAAAACCGCCGCTCTCAAGATCCCCAAGCGTAATATCAGTCGATTCGTCAAATTTACCATCTTGTTGGGAACCTGCTCCCCACGATATTTATGCAGATCCTACGGAGATCTGTGAAATCACGTACCCATTTGTCAACGACAATCGACCATTCGTACCCGTAAAAATTTATGATTATCCCATACGAGCGCTTCTGGATAGTGGTAGCAATTACACTTTAATAAGCGAGAAGTTTTTTTCAAGGCTTAAACATAAGCAACTAACCCAGTCTCAGAAGTCGATCCAACTTCATTCAGCTAGCGGAGACCAACTTAGGATAGTTGGCCAGGCTCAGCTTCCTTTCCAGTTTAATGGACGTTCGAGGATAATATCTTCCCTGGTTGTTTCCAATCTATCGATCAACTGCATTTGCGGGATGGACTTCTGGGAGAAATTCGAGATTCGCCCTGAAATGACAGGAAGTATCGGTTCTAGCGATTTAGTCGAGCCTCCTACTACTCCTTCGTCATTGACAGAGGAAGAGAAGATGGTTCTCGAGGATGTGAAGAAACTATTCCTTCCAGCTGGTGAAGGGTATTTGACCTTAACTACTTTCACGCAACACGAAATTGTGCTGAAAGAGGAATGGAAGGACAAACCACCCGTACGCCAATTTCCGTATGTTATGTCTCCTAAGACCCAGGAACTCGTAGGTGTTGAACTGCGACGTCTATTAGACTTGGGAATCATTGAGCGGAGCAATTCGGATTGGTCCCTCAATTGTGTACCCGTAATAAAACCGAATAAAGTTAGACTTTGCCTAGACGCACGTAAAATCAATGAGAGGACTGTACATGATGCTTACCCTTTGCCCCACCCGGACGCATTCTTGGTCAGCTTCCCAGAGCGAAGTATCTTTCAACGATAGACCTTTCAGAAGCCTTCCTTCAGGTTCCTTTAGAACCAAAATCCCGTAAATTCACGGCGTTCAGCGTCCAGGGCAAAGGGCTGTTCCAGTACACCAGAATGCCATTCGGTTTAATCAACAGCCCAGCCACTTTGGCGCGGCTTATTGACAATGTGTTGGACCACGGTGTACTGGAACC